ATATATATGTTTGCCCGATATTATTACAACGGCGTTATTTTTGGGCCTTAAAAATAAGATAAAATATAAGAATTGATTTAATAGATACCTCGTGTAATATCTTAATAGGCGATGCCAAAATTGGATATCAACGGCGACCAAGTTTGACTTAGATCATTTATTAAATCGAGTGTAATTAATTAAATTCCACTCGTTCAATTAAACTCTCATTTTTTGTTTTATTATATAAATGAGTTAAGATTTACTTTTTACGAGCCGAACTGAGTTGTACTACTTAACAAATCGGTTTTATAGCAGCCCGGGGTTGAAAACATTTCTGGCTACGCCCCTGGCCTGGACAGAAACTCTCAGTACGGCGCTCGCGGCGAAAAACAACAACAGCTCTCGACGATAGCATGGATTTTCGTGAGCCTTGGCTGAGTCGCGCGGCTCGGCTGATTGCTCAAATAATTCCGAGACTACGGGTGTGGTATAGAATCAAATTTTGCCTATGAATTTCTTGCTAAATGCCGAGAGAAATTGAGAGTTTGAAGAGAGTGCTTTGGCCGTGGAAGATATTTGCGAGAGAGATAAGAAAATTTCTGAAATTGGCTAAATGAAAAATGATCTTTGGAAGCTCCCTTTTCGGTTTTAATTCAACAGGAAAATCAAATCAAATGCCCATAATGTAATGGATCCAATGTTTTAAATAAAAAATGAGTTACAATTGGGTGGATATTTACTCAATTAAATTGCCACCAAGGCACCCATTAAACTTAGAGGCTTTGCTAAAAAAGAAAATAAGATAAAACCGAAAATGTGAGATCAATATACTAATGAAAAATTCGTTAGTAAGTGTATAATATTTTAGTTACACTACATTGTTTATTGAAAATAATTTTTTTATTTCATAGTTGTAAACCTAATATTTTTTCCTACATGAGTCACAATTCATTGAATTTATTGAGATTTGTCAAAATTTATTCTACAACAATTTTAGAATATCGGAGATCCTCTAAGTGAGTGGTGTGTAGAAGATGGTAGATGTTCCTTATATATCAACATAATATTAGATTGTAGATAATATTAGAAGACGAGTGGTAGCTCTCCACTATTTTTGTTCCAAATTAATTTATACCCACATGTCCAATGTATATATATAATACAAGTTCAATATCTCAGTTAAAATTATATAAAAACATGATATTCAAGTATATATATTCCATATAACATATTAAGTTAACCACTCAAAAATATATTTGAATAAAGTACCTTATAAAATATTGAAATGTATTTAAAGTACCAGAAAACAAACCAGGACCACGCGGCTTGTAACAATTGATTTCTAGCGCCATGAACTGCGGGGTTCATTATCAGGACGAGAAAACCGGGCCCAAGCAGATGGTCGAACCTGATCGGGGTTCATTATCAAAACCTGATAGGGTTAGGCTGCTTGGGTTAGAGTGCTTTGTTTAAATGAGATGATCAAAGGAAATATTTATTTAAATGACCTTTTCAATAAATGTTTTTGTTTAAATAACCTATTGTTTAAATTAAGTTAAATAAATAAATTGAATACCTAATAATTAATATACCGTAAATGATTATAGTGTCTTTCTTCCATTACGACTTTGTAATTAAAAAAAAAATAAATTAGATTGTCATGACTATAGTGCCCCTTTTCTATTATGTTACCAACTTTGTAAAAAAAAATTAAAAAAATCCATATGACTATAGTGCTCTATTCTCTCTTCTCTTGGAAAGGTAAGAACAAAATATGATTATTACACATAAATTTTAGATTCCATATTTCAAAAGAAATGTGGTAGAAGATCAACAATTCAAGAATGTTTGAGTTTGTTGTTATTTTAGAGATAAAACATTTTGATTCATGTTTTATAATTTATAAACATGTTGGTTTCTATTGGAATACAATTGGAATATCCATTAAAATGTCCATTGGTGTATATTATTATATGATTTTTCATTGAAATATAACATTTTTTTTGTAGTAGCTGCTGCTCGGAGTCGTCGAAAGAAGTTCTCAGCTGAAAACTCACGAGCCGAGGATGTTCGCTGAAAAAGAAGCCGATTTGCCGCTGATTCGAGGTCTCCGGCTGCTCGATAAAAGCCTTGAACGGCTGCCGCTATTCTCGCACGGGCCCAAAAGGGATGCGGCTGATTCGAGGTCTCCGGCTGCTCGATAAAAGGCCTCGAACGGCTGCCGCTATTCTTGCACGGGCACGAAAGGGATTCTGCTGCTGTTCGTGCCGCTAAACGAAGGGGTGCCGGCGTGCCACTGATGTTCAGTCGGCCACTGGTGGGGCTGAAATTTGATGGATTTATGATGGAGTTCTCTTCCCTGCTCGCTCGCCTGATATTTGGAGAAGAACATCTGATTTTTTTTTTTTTTCGATATCTTCTGCTGTTCTTGTTTATGATCGAGAATGGGCAAAAAGAAATACTACAATGTGGCTTGCGAGAGGGGTAAACTAATGGAGATGTAAAAATATGTCTTTTTTTTTTATTTTTTTTAATCTAGTCAAATGAAAGTTGGTGGGAAAATTTTATAACTAGCCTCCTTTAAGCAAAATATTCCTCGATTACTCCTGTCCTACACATTTCCAAATATACCCCATAATTGGACACAATTAGAGAAAATGAAAAATATATATAAAAAAAACAAATAAAT